GTTGGGCAGAAGTAGAATTAATGCATAAATCATTAGCATTACGATATTGTTATTAACAACGTTGGTCAGAAAATAACAACATCATAATCATGTCAAAACTCTTTTTCTCCAATTAAATACCACATTGGTTCAAAATAATTGGAGAATCAACATTTTCTTTAGCAGCGGAAAAACTTTCCTTTTCTCCAATTAAATACCACATTGATACAAATTAACTGGAGAATAAATCATTTCTCTAGCTGTGGAAAAACTTCTCCTTTTCTTGAATTTTACCCACAGGGAAAATTGTATTTTCTATTTCCTTTAATCCATTAATCAATTTCCAGGAAATGAACATTTACTGGAAAAACTTTTCTTTTCTCCAGTTTAAAATACCTTTTCATATTTTCTTTAAGCCTTTTATCCATTTTCCAGGAAATAAAACCTTTACTGGAAAATGAAAAAAGGAAAAATATGACTCAATTGTTTCAATTTCTTTTCATTGTCACGGCAAAGCGACCCACGGCCCATGCCCGCATGGGCGTTTCCTTCAAGCTCTCCCGTGCCCAAGCCGCAACAACTGGCTGGGCAGAAATTGACTGGCCTTAGCGCACTACCTTGGCTGAAAGCCGTCCATTCTTTCATCACCGTCAGATCTCATCCGGCCGGCTGCAGCAGTGATCGGGCCGATCAAAAAAGGGCTACTGGCGCCTCCCCCAAAAACCCTAATTCATTTGCACCTCTGCTCTCTCTCTCTCTTCGTTTCTCTCTTCGCTCTCTCTCTCTTCTCTCCTCACACCGAGCACAGGCGGCGGCGAACCGAGAGCGGCGGCGGCGGTGGAGCAAGCAGAGAAGCACGGCACCGTCGCCCCCCCCGCCGGGGTGTCTTGCGCGTTCCCAATGGTGAGCGCGCGCCGCCGCCGAAAGCAGCTGCCTGCCATGGCGTCCCCTTGGCCGAGCTTCGGCGAAAACCTTCCAGCTCGGTCTTCTTCTCCCTCGCCCGGCAAAACAGTTCGCCCGGTGCTGCGAGATCTCTTTCCTTTCTTCTTCCCCCTTTCGGATTTGAGTTATTTTTCTCTATTTTCTTTTCACTTTTTCATCCGAAAAGAGGATCTAGGGTTAGGGTTTGGTTGAACCCGATTCGTGTTTTCTTTTTGTTTCTTTTCTTTTCTTATTTGTGCCGAATCCCCCTTTTCCCCTTCCTCGTTGCGAGTTAGGGTTAGGGTTCCGTTGAACCGATTTGGTTTTGATTCAAGATCTTCGAGATAGGCCCCTTCCCCATGGTCATTTCTTGGGTTAGGGTTCGGCTCGAAGTGCCGAGAGCCCTCTCTGTTCTCTGATCCGAATGGATCTTGTTTTCTTTTCTTTGTTTGACCGATTGGGGTTAGGGTTTGTGTGCTGACCCCTGTTCTTTTCTCTTCTTTTGAATTTCCTTTCCTTTCTTTTATTTCTTTTCTCTTTTGGATTTAGGGTTCGGCTCTGTTCGTCTTAAGGCCGAAACCTTTCTTTTCCCCCTTTCTTTAACCCAATTAGGGTTAGGGTTAGGGAGTGTTCTGTTCTTTTCTTTTCTTGCCGTGTCAGTGCGGCACTTTTCCCGCGCGATGGCGGTGGTGACCGGGGTTCCAGTGACCTCCGCCACCCCCGGTCCCTTTTCCTTTCTTCTTTTACCCGGTTAGGGTTAGGGTTACACACTTAGTAACCTGCTCTGGTACCATTGTTAGGATCAAATGTGTGTACCTCACTGTGACCCGTAGATCCGGTTAGGCTCCTTGCCTGTCTCTGTTGCAGCGCATCGGCAAGCGTAGACGCCGATGCCATCGGTGTAGTAGACGTCGTAGTGGTGAGGAGGTGAAGTCCAGTGCTAGTACTGCAGTGGTCCGATGGTGGCCCTGCAGTGGGAGCGACGGCGGTGGTGGCGGGCTCATCCCGTCGCTGGCAGCACGTCTTTAGATCGGATTAGGGTTTTCTTTGGTGGGTGTGGCGGCTCCGGCGAACCTCGTTCCTTGAGCCCAGTCCCCACTCCTCTATTTATGTACTGTGCGACAGGGGCCCACCAACCAATTAGGGTTGGGCTCCCCCGATCAGGGAGCAGAGGCAAGGGCCCAATAGGCCGTTGGGCCTATTGGTGGAGATCAACTAACAATCTCCTCTAACTCCGACAAGGCAATGGAGCGGTGGAGGTGCAGCAGCTCGCCGGCGACGCTCTCCTGCCCGTGGGGTGGCCTCCTCCTCATTCCTTCCCCCTTCTCTTCCTTCTTCCTCTTCTCCTCTTCTTCTCCTCCCTTCTCTCTTCTCTGTTTCTTGCTTCTCTGAATACTGAACGTGAATGAGAAATGGGGAGGGAGAGAGAGAGAGAGGGCTGGTGCCTTTGTGTGTGTGCGTGGGCTGATGAGTGGGGCCGGGTGGTGTGTGTGCGTGACAACGCAACACCTTGCATGTTACAGGTGTCGCTGCGATCTGACGGATAGTCCGCCGGAGTGTTGGACGGTCCGCCAGTGCCCAACCGTGTCTGACAGACTGACTGGCTTTGCAAGGGTTTCGACGGACACTCCGCCATAACGGTGGACAATCCATCAGTGCACGGGTTGGCTAAGGTTATCCTAAGTCTATGAGATATCCTGGCGGACAGTCCGGTGGTGATGTCGGACGATCCGTCAAGTCGGGCAGTGCTCGGCCTTGGCTGGGCTAAGCACAGGTTGATTTCCAATTTTTGATGTAGTAGATGTTCTAGATGCTTATGATAAATTGTAGCGTTTTTTGGGTCGTGACAGTTTTGGTTTGGTCATTTGTTTTAAGGGATCTCGTTATTCTTAGAGGCCAATTCAGGTTTATTTGAAAGGTAGGTTTTAGCTGTCAAATGCAACGTGGTGAACAGCATCGACCTCGCCTACATCCGTTGCAGTTCTCTGCTCGGTAACTGGACAGTGGACACCATAGTTTCAGAAATGAGACAGATGGCCGGTCCCGGGTACCATTGTTGCATTTCAGCTAACGGATGTTTCGATGCTGCATCTAATGAATTGCTTATAATGGTTTGGATTGATGTCATAAATCGGAAAAAAAATCATTAGGGATGGTCCTCGCCAAAACACGGTGCGGATGTGCAGCTGACGTGGACCCTAGGGCATCTGATTTACCATGTGCACCGTTAAAATAATACGGTGGCCCACGTATCAGCCAAATAGTCTACACCATGTCTTGGTAGGGATGGTCCTCACTCAATGGCCCACGTATCAGCCAAATAGTCTACACCATGTCCTGGTAGGGATGGTCCTCACTCAATTTTCCCCCATAAATCAGGCCTTGATCTGCTACCCTCTTAGGGTTGATGTGCCCACCTCCATAGTCAAATGGTACGTTGAAAAATAAAGAAAAACCCACAAATGACATGGCATAGGCTTGAAAAATAAAAAAAACACACAAATGACATGGCATAGGGCGCCATAGGACCATTGTGGCTACAAAATATGGAGTAGAGAATCGTTGTTTACACTTTTCAACGGTACTTTGATTTTTTTTTCATTAATTTTGTTATGTATCTAGATATATATATATATTTAGATACATAGCAAAATGGATGTAAAAAAAGTCAAAACGAGTTATAATTTGAAACATAGGGAGTAGCATGCAAATATGTAATGAAGATTGGAAAGCAATGAATGCAAGTTCGTTTTTGTGTCCTTGAATTAGCCAGGATCCTTTTCCCATGTCTGGAAGGAATTGAACTCGTCTTGAATGATAGTTTGAGCGATTCGTCGTGGAGACCAACGATAGCTGTCGTCATTGAGCCTAGCTAGAACACGTCTAATCACACAATCTAAAAGGAAAACGTCTCATAGTACGCTACCACGGTCTATCGTCTTTGCTAATGGAAAAACATATCATATATATATATATATATATATATATATATATATATATATATATATATATATATATATATATATATAATTTGAAACATAGGGAGTAGCATGCAAATATGTAATGAAGATTGGAAAGCAATGAATGCAAGTTCGTTTTTGTGTCCTTGAATTAGCCAGGATCCTTTTCCCATGTCTGGAAGGAATTGAACTCGTCTTGAATGATAGTTTGAGCGATTCGTCGTGGAGACCAACGATAGCTGTCGTCATTGAGCCTAGCTAGAACACGTCTAATCACACAATCTAAAAGGAAAACGTCTCATAGTACGCTACCACGCTCTATCGTCTTTGCTAATGGAAAAACATATCATATATATATATATATATATATATATATATATATATATATATATATATATATATATATATATATATATATATATATAATGGAAATTGCGATGCGGAAGTAGTCTCTGAAACCTTCTGCTGTGGCACGCGCTCAAACATGACGAACGCGCGCATCTGTTTCGTCGATCGATTCGGACTAGGCTCGTCGTTGCCTCCGCCAACGCGGACGATAGAATTAGTCATAGAAGAAGCCTAATTGTACTCCTCCTATGTGTGTTTTTGGACTCTTGATAACAGAGCAAGCCTTCATGCATATATATGTATAAGTACCGGATCACGAATGGCACATGCATCTGATCACAGCAAAGGAAAACATGGCATTCTTCTGCTCTACTTCATCACGCGTCCCTCCTGTAGCTTGGGCCCTCGTACTTAGCTTCTGCGTTCTGTTCTTGGGAGCACACGCAACCTCTCGCTCGGTAAATAGCGTGTGGTATATATACTAGCTGGTAGATTTATTTGATGACATGCTGATTAAGAATAATTTGTTCCTAAAATATATATAATTTGTAACATGTAATTTTTGCAGCTGTATATCGTGTACCTAGGAGATGTGAAACATGAGCACCCCAACGATGTCGTCGCTTCGCACCATGATCTACTCAGCAATGTTCTTGGAAGGCACGTATATATATATATATATATATATTCTCTAGCTCGGTTTATATATTCTGCCCACGTACCATACAATATTTGTTTAGGCGATGAATTTATGCGTATGTTACTTTCAGTATGGAAGATTCTTTGGCCTCCATGGTTCACAACTACAAGCATGGCTTCTCAGGCTTCGCAGCGATGCTCACTGAAGACGAAGCTAAACAAGTCGCAGGTGAGAGGAGTTCAATTTGCGATTGCTAGCTGAATTTTCTCCACAGCTGCAGTAGTCTATAATCTATATATATTGAGGAAACTAATTATAATATAACCACGCCGCGCCTTGTGGCTTACTTTGTTAACTCTATCTATAGGGTTTCCAGAAGTCATCAGTGTGGAACCTAGCACAACCTACACGACGACAACCACTCACAGCTGGGATTTCCTTGATCTGAGCTACCAAACGCCCAGCGACGACGACTTGCTCCAGAAAGGCAGATATGGAGAGGACATTATCATCGGGGTTGTTGACACAGGTCCGCTCCGTACGCAATCTCACTCTAATCTGACACGCATTTCTTCACTGTCTGTCTCTAAAATAACTTAACTTGCTGCTTCAGGTATCTGGCCGGAGTCAAGAAGCTTCAGAGACGAAGGATACCCGCCGGTGCCGTCGCGGTGGAAAGGCGTGTGCCAGGTCGGAGAGGTCTGGGGCACCAACAACTGCAGCCGCAAGATCATCGGGGCACGCTTCTACGACGCCGGAATCGACAGGGAAACCCTCCACAGGAACGAGTACCTCTCGGCCCGGGACGCCAACGGCCACGGCACGCACACGGCGTCCACCACGGCGGGCTCCGCCGTGGACGCGGCCAGCTTCCACGGCCTCGCGGCGGGCGTTGCGCGCGGCGGCGCGCCGCACGCCCGCATCGCCGTGTACAAATCCCTCTGGCTCAACGAGGACGGCCGTAGCAGCGGCAGCGACGCGATGGTGCTCGCGGCCATCGACGACGCGATACACGACGGGGTGGACGTGCTCTCGCTGTCCCTCGGTGCCGTCGGTGCCCAGAGCTCGTTCGCCGCCCTGCACGCGGTTCAGAAGGGGATCACCGTCGTGTACTCTGGCATGAACGACGGTCCAAGGCCGCAGACCGTCGGGAACACTGCCCCGTGGGTCATCACCGTGGCCGCGAGTACGATTGATCGCTCGTTTCCAACCGCCATTACGCTGGGCAACAAGCATCAGATATTGGTAGGTTAGGTACAACCGAATAGTACAAATTTAGCAGGAATATAAGTGATTAGCCATCTACGAAGTACGAACTCATCCTGACCGACATCTACCAATTTTGCAGGGACAATCTCTCTACTACCAAGAGAAGAACTCACCCAGGAGTAGTTTCAGAAGCCTTGCCTTTGGAGGCCTGTACGTTATTAAGCCACTAGTTTCACTTCATTTTACTTCGACCCAGCTAAAAGTTTTCCGACAGTCTAGTACATCACACACGTCTTGAATTGAAGCTGAGCAGTTAATTTTTGCTTTCTGTGGTTAGCTGCACGGCGGAAACTCTCAACGGTACGGATTTGAAAGGGAAGACTGCCCTGTGCTTTCCATTATCAGACAACCAAAGAGCGCTAGTCCCGGTCCAGCAATTCCAAAACGCGACGCAAAACGTCCTGGATGCCGGGGGCTCGGGTCTTGTTTTCGCTCAATACACGACCAATCTTCTAGATGTCACAGAAAACTGCGGAGGAATTCCTTGTGTTCTTGTGGACATTGACACTGGGTACAAGATTCTACGATACATCAGAACCGCGAGGTACAACTATGCAACTTCTTGATTCATTCTTGTTCTTTAAAATGAATCAAACCCTCTTCATCTCTTGCATGAATTATATTTCTGATTGTTTATTTAAATTTTTAATAAGCAGCTCTCCGGTGGCAAAGATTGAACCAGCGCGCAGCGTTACAAGTAAAGAGTTACTGGCTCCCAAAGTGGCTGCCTTCTCCTCCAGAGGTCCAGCCATCGACTACGCTGATGTTATCAAGGTACCTACCATGGTAGCACTAGGCAGTAGGCACTAGGCACACTACTACAAGCCATGACAAATCACGTATCTAACTCCACTGTTGCTTCCCCAACAGCCTGACATAGCTGCACCTGGAGCTAGCATCTTAGCAGCAGTGGGAGACTCCTACATGCTTATGTCGGGGACATCAATGGCCGCTCCACACGTCTCGGGCATAGTTGCACTGCTGAAAGCTCTGCACCCAGATTGGTCTCCTGCTGCGCTGAAATCTGCCATTGTCACCACTGGTAATCAGCACAAGAATTAATCTACCAATAACTTGCACAAATTATATATGAAAACATGACTAGTCAACGACTAGGCGCAGCATTACAATTGCTTTACCTCTATTTCTTTTTGCATGGTGAAGCATCTGTAACTGATGAACACGGCATGCCAATACTGGCTGAAGGGTTGCCTAGGAAGATTGCTGACCCATTTGACTATGGAGGTGGCCACATCAACCCTAACAGAGCAGCAGATCCTGGCTTGATTTATGACATCAATCCAAACGATTACAACCAATTCTTTCGCTGCAGCATCGAGACATCCATTAGTTGCAATGCAACATCAGTACCCGGGTATCTCTTAAACCTGCCTTCTGTCTCGGTACCAAATCTTAGGTATCCAGTTACCGTGCCGAGAACTGTCACAAATGTCGGCGAGGTCGATGCAGTTTACCACGTTGCGGTTGAGAGCCCTGCTGGAGTCAAGATCGAAGTTGAGCCATCGGTTCTTGTGTTCAACGCTGCAAACAAGGTTCATACATTTCAGATCAAGTTATCACCTATGTGGAGGTTACAAGGGGATTACACGTTTGGCAGCCTTACGTGGTACAATGATCATAGGACAGTAAGAATTCCAGTTGCAGCCCGGATCACGATTCATGATTTCTTTGCAGATGTTTGATAAGAAATCAAGGTGAAACATGGAGGGCAAATAAATCTAATACCCTTTAATCTTTGGAGGCAATATCATGCTAGGCGTTCCTTGCACTATTCAGGGGGAGAAAAAGAGATGCCATGTTCTACCATGCATGGTTTTACTTGTATGGTCGTAAGTACTAGTTGGTATATATATATGTTATTCTGCATCCTAATAAAGGTGAATAAATTTGTGGTTATCAGTTAACCATATAACTTTTCATGATGCAGTAGTTTTGTACAAATGCTTGTACATGTATATATTCTGTAATCAGCTATAATAATATAAGAGATTTTAAGTTTCCTTTACATCAATCCCAGGGAGAAATATATGTTAGTACAATTTATGGTGGACGTCTTTCATATTTCTGTTGTTCTCCAAAATATGGATGATAATAACTAATGAGAACTCTAGGACTAATTTTTTACCATTGAGTGTTGTTATCATGGTCGGTAAGATGTATGGTAGGAGAACACGCCCAGACATTTAGTGGGCTGATTAATTAGGGAGGAGGCTCAGGCCTAGCTGTTATATATTAGATCTAAAAAGGATTAGTAGGGGATTTGAACTCTTATTGATAAATAGGCCCAAAGCCCATTAGCATTCTTGTAAACCCCTATATCTGGAGGAATGTAGCAATAGAAGACAAGCAAGTTTAAGGTTAACCCCTTATCTCTTCTCCTCCAACATTCTCTACAGGCACTGCCTCCTCTCTCTCTCTCTGTGCCACCTTCCTCCCACTCTCCTACACCATCGCTGCTGCCCCTGCCCTAGTCACAACCGCAGCCTCTACTGCCCCCTGTCCAGCCCCAACTGCCTGTTGATATTTCTTATGTCTACTGGATATTTCCGCATGCACACTGAAAATATTGAAGTAGCACTTCGCTCGAGAGTACTCTGAATGTCGTATTTATAATTCCCATAGGAAGGCTAAGATGATTGATAAATAGGATTCCTTATTACTAAGTCATCAAGCAATTGCACGACTTTAGTCGGGGGTAAACGATTGGCGTGCGTTATGATCACTATAGAAGATAGCTAGATAAAAGAGTAGACAGCGTAACTAGTGGGAGAGAGAGAGTGAGTAAAAAGAGAGTCCTATGTAACTTGTACTTATCAAGCACAACTTAACTATATACTTAGCAACTTAGCTAAACCAAGAAAGAGAAGAGTTCTCAAGCACCTTGGGGCCCACCCTGATCTAGTCTTCCATTTCACAGGTAAACTGGACTAGGAATACAATGAGCCCTAAGCTTTAAGAACTAAACCTATCATAATGGAATATAGAGGATGGATAGGGCTGTCATCACCTGCCAACCTACCACTAACTATCCTCCATCTGAAAAAAATATTTTTCTAGTACCTCTCGTGTGCATCATCCTAACTACGCAATAAAATTTGTATGTGGAGAGCTTTCTCCCACAGAGAGCCCATATATATGTGAATTCTATGTAAAATAAGTGGCCACAAACACGAAATCAAAGAAATGGTGCAGAGCTCAGACTTCTACAAACATGAGCCATGCCATGGATAGCTCAGGCTACCGTGCATGCCCTTTTATAGCCACGAGCAACGGTGGTAGGTGAGAGGAACAGTGGAGAATCGGTGGCAGGTGAGAGCAATGGTCGAGATTTTCAGCCGATGCTGCAAGCGGTTGTTTAAGTGAACCAGCAGTGTAAAACAAATACACTGATGGTTTTCGTTACGCAAACCACTAGCAGTGTAAATGTATCTACACTGGTGCTTGCATAACGAAAACTGCCAGTGTAAATACACTATTAACACTGGAGTAAAACCACCAGTGTAAAGTCGTTTACACTGGTGATTCTTTGCCTGGGGCCATAGATTTTACACTAGTAGTGGTCCTGCTCCTTATGAACTTCCAATGAAAAAATGGCACCATCAAGAGAAATCATTTCTGAACTAGTGTGTGTGGTTGGTCTGCCATGTTCAGAATGTGTAATAGGTCTCTATTGTCTGATATATGGTTCTGTGTCTACATAAGATGGTCTCAATCTAGGGACCCCTGTCTCACTACTAGAAATATCAACTTCTATGATAAAAATCTTAATGATGAATCCGAGATCGTCATAGAAGAGCGCTTTTTATGATGAATATTTTCGTTCCGTCATAGATCAGTGGTGACGATCCTGCAACCCTCCCTTTCTATGACAAAATTAGGCATCGTCACAAAAAACATCATAGAAGAGCGCATAGTTTCATCATAGATCACTCATGTGACTCATCTGTGATGATCTCCTTTAAAACTGTGACGAACATGGCTTCGTCATTGAACTAATTACACATCTATGATGAACAGTATTCGATCTGTAATGAACAGCTTCGTCATAGATCTCCACACGGTACTTTCTTCATCCGACGTGTACCTGTGGGACCTAGAGTAACTCATCCATGATGCTTGCAATTCGTCATAAAAGTCTATGCTCGGTCCTTTCTTTGTCCGACATGTACCTACAGGACCCTTCAGTATTTGACCTATGGGACCCGATGACTTACGTGTCACGTGTACCTGTGGGACCGTTCTCCATCTCTATCCGACCTGTGGGACCTGATGGCTTACGTGTCACGTGTACCTGTGGGACCCGATGACTCACGTGTCATGTGTACCTGTGGGACCATTCTCCATCTCCATCCGACCTATGGGACCCGAAGGCTCACGTGTCATGTGTACCTATGGGACGATCCTCCATCTCCATCCAACCTATGGCATCCGACGGCTTGCGTGTCACTTGTAACTTTTGTGCCGCTGGGGTCTAATAAATTCAAAAAAAAACTCAATGCCTAGGAGTCAAACTCGGGACCCAGAGGAAGAAATGCACGCTCTTTACCATTGCACTAGATGCCTGGTTGTATTGACATGTCTTTGGAGTCGTTATAGTATTATATTCTCTGTGTGGATGCCCTACAGGTTGACCTATATTGGATATTTCTCCTTCAAGTGGACACAAATCTGTGCCCGTTTGACTAGCGGCGGCGGCGGAGGAGGATCCCCGGTGTGCTGTGGTGGCTCCGGCATCTTTTGGAGGCTAGACGGTGGGGCTTGCCGGTGGAGCGTGGCTGCATTAGCATCCGTGTCCGTTGTGTGCCGTGGAAGAGGCGACAGATCCGATCAGCAGGTCTCCTTTCTTGCCTTTTGCTGTTTGGTTCACTGTTTTGGTCCTTGCTTGAACATGAGGTATACAAGAAACATTGTAGCATTGCAGATCTGGTTAGGCCAATGCTGATAAAAAGAACTAGGAGGTGGCACTGGTTGGTTTTCTGCTGGTGTCTTGGTTTTCTACATATGTTCAGTGTTCTTACTGTAAATGCCTGTGTGCAACTAGGCCTATTGATTGTCAAGTGCTTGCTTAATTATACCTATATGTCTAGGTAAACATATAGGCCCTTCGCTTCTACCTTAAACTATTTTTTCTGTCTAGTGCTTGCTTGATTCTACATTTCTATTTTGTATGCTCCAGTGCCACCAGTGAGTCCTTATGGTATTTTGAACTTGTAACATATCTACGGCCATATTTCTGTGCCAATGATGTTTACATGGATGTTGGATGTATTAGGACGCAGCTCATATGTTTGCTTTATGTGTCTTCTCCTTCTTGACAACCAAGTTATCCATTTGGTTCCAAACAAGAGGAAGGCATCGAAAGCAAATCAATGCTTTGTGTCCATCATTCACATCACTGAGGCCATTAATGTTTAAGCTGCACATGTTGCTACTGATGCCAATGATGATCACTACCACTTGTTCACTGACATTCTACTTGTGAAAACTGAGGAAGCTCAATTAACTGCTGAAATTGTAATTGTTACAGCTCCATTAACTGCTACTATAGTTTGAGTTATATATATCTATGTGGTGCTACTCTAAATTTACATGAGGTCGTACTATGAAAATTGTTAATAGTTGTTAAAGTTGCACTTTGGTATGAGTTGTGGACTTCACTGATGGATCTTTGTTGGATTATTTTCCTCTTCAGAGATCACTGAGGAAGCTCTCGTCGTACTACACACTAACGAAATGGAGGAGGCCCCAAAAAGAGGAATGCACTAGCCAACCTCATGGAGGATGTTGTTTTCGAGATCCTACGCCGTCTCCCCGCCTGCTCCTTGTTCTGCTGCAAATGTGTCTATTACTCCTGAAAAAAACTCATTTCAGACCCCAACAACCATATGACACTACCCCAGATCTGGACATCACTGCCGGTTCAAAAACCCACTTCACTGTCGGATTTTGAACCGACAGTGGCATACCGGCAGTGATGTGGGATTGACATCACTGCCGGTCCTTAAAACCGACACTGATCTACACGAAACAGTGTCGGTTCCTGGCTCGCCCCGGCATTGTCCAGTTGAACAACACTGCCGGTTTGTAGTGCCAACTGACAGTGACGGTTGTTTCAAGAGTGTCGGTTCTTGGCTCAAGCCAGCAGTGTTGTGCAAGCCTACACTGTCGGTTCGTGGATCAAACCGGCAGTGCTGTCGTAACCATCAGTGTCGATTGATGGATCAAACTGGCAGTGTTGTCGTAACCATCAGTGTCGGTTCATGGTTCAAGCCGGCAGTGTTCCCCAAACCTTCACTGTCGGTTTATGGATCAAACCGGTAGTGTTGTTGTAGCCATCAGTGTCGGTTGATGGATCAAACCGGCAGTGTTGTCGTAATCATCAGTGTCAGTTGATGGTTCAAGCCGGCAGTGTTGAGCAAGCCAACACTGTCTGTTTGTTGCTAACCGGTGGTGATGGTCCGTTCGTATTTTATTGTTTTATAATTTATTTCAATTTGTATTTTTTCGTCGAATCGGGTTTCGCTTTTATATACGCTACGTAGATGACATGTCCATCAATATTAAACATTACAAATGTTATGGTTACAATTCAAATGTTCTTATCTAGATCTCGATCCCTCAAAATAAAAAAGAAATATTCTCGAACTTCACAGATTGTGCAATGCTTTTCGGACTTCTTACAATAATCTGGCGAGCCG